ATGGTTAGCAAATGGCTTTCAAGGTACCCAGGGCCAAGTCATAGCCACAGAGGAGCTCTGGTGCTGTCTCCAGGTCTCTGAAGGGCTGTCACATGGCCCCCCAAGGGCAGCGTGGGCCTCTGGGGGGCTGGCTACACTGGGACAGGACCAGTTAAAGTTGGAAGTGTGCTGATGGAAGGACCCCTCCCCCACCCCAGACAGACTCTCTGTCCCTGGAGCTGCTGAGTTCTGCTCCTGCCCTCTGAGGGGTTGGGGACAAGCCAGGACTCTCTTTGCCTCCAGGCCAGGCCATTGCTCGGCGTCTGAAGCCATTTGGCGTCCAAAGATTCCTGTACACGGGGCGCCAGCCCAGACCTCAGGAAGCTGCAGAATTTCAGGCCGAGTTTGGTAAGTAAAATCTTGATTTCCGCAGGAGCCGCATCTGAGCCCGGTAGAGGGGTGTCGTAGCGGCAGCATCTCGGGCAGGTGTAGCTGGGGCCTGTGGTGTCGCTCAGGTACTAGCTAACCTACCTGGTCCTGGTTGCAGGGGCCCGGTCAGAGAGCGCAGGGATACACCCAGGCCACACGGGGAGTTCTCACCGTGCCTGAGAGCTCTCCAGGCTTCTTGTCTTTCAGCGTTCCTTGTCACCACTGTCCCTGCCTGGGCAGAGCACCAGGGATGGTGACAGATGTAAGGGATTGCTGGGAACTTTGACACCCAGTTTCTCTAATAAACCGGTGAGCACTGTTCCCCAGCCTTGTGTCCCATGGATCTAGCCCCCCGTCAGGGGGCATAGTGTTGTGAGCAGAGGGCAGCTGGATTTTAGCCATTCCTCACCCCCTTGGCACACTGGGGCCTTCCCGCCCCTCTCTGGCCTTAGTTTCCCCATCTGTGAGACCAGGGGGTTGGATAAATGATGCAGTATACCAGGAGCCCACCAGAAGGGATAGTTATCAGAGGTTTTGTGGGGACACAAGGCCTTTAGGAAGCAAATTGGGAGTTTGGCAGGGGGAGGCGAGGGTCTGGTCTCCCATCCTTTTGCTTTCTCCATCCTGGGACTTGGTGTCTTACGGAGCCCTGCCCTTCCCCAGTGTCCACCCCCAGGCTGGCCGCTGAGTCTGATTTCATCATCGCGGCCTGCTCCTTAACCCCTGCAACCAAGGGGCTCTGCAACAAGGACTTCTTCCAGCAGATGAAGAGCACGGCCGTGTTTGTCAACATCAGCAGGTTCACTGGGGCCGCCCAAGCTCCCTGGGGCACCGAGAAAGCCTGGAGGGGGGCTGTCCCTGCTGCCGTGATCCCCGTGGGTTGTCCGTGTCTCCCCTTGGGTGGAGCCTCCCCCTCTTTAAACCGACGCATCAGCCAGACCCAGCTCAGAAGTCCAGTAAAGGCCACCAGAGAGTGCCCCAGGCTGGGAGGAGGAGCCGCCAGAGCAGGTGTGGCTAGTCGGGTCCGGCAGTAGCACGTGGCAGACTTGGTTCGGGAATGGAGGCACGATAGCAACGAGTTACCAGCCACCCTCGAGCAGCCCGTGTTCTCTACTGCAAAGAGTTGGGTATAACGATCTTAGCAGCCCTTTGGAAGCCATCCATCCATAACACTAAGCCTGGGTCTGAGTTAGTGCACGTGGCAGACTTGGTTCGGGAATGGAGGCACGATAGCAACGAGTTACCAGCCACCCTCGAGCAGCCCGTGTTCTCTACTGCAAAGAGTTGGGTATAACGATCTTAGCAGCCCTTTGGAGGCCATCCATCCATAACACTAAGCCTGGGTCTGAGTTAGTGACAGCTTGAACCTTGGTGCTTCTGGAAAGATAGACTCAAACCCAACTTAATTCGGTTTACCACAGTGTCCCCAGGGTGCCTTCAGGCCACTGGGCATGTTACGGAGGCAGACCTTCCCTTTCTGCCGCTCCAGACACGGCCTGGTTGGTGCCCTTTGAACCTGCTTAAGTCAGTTTGGAGGCAAGTAAAGGCAAATGAAGGGTTATCATGGGGTCCCCCTCATGTCACTCCAGAGGCCCCTGTACTTATGAATGTCTAGCCACAAAGGAAGCGACCTGGAGGAGGCGTGAAACATGCGGGGGAGCAGGGCTCGTGCTGACTGAGCATGTCTCAGTCTCCGTGTACAGAGCACCTGTGTGAACCCAGGACTGGGCGGGGTCCTGTGCATTGTTGCCGACTGCACAAGTATTACTTCGGGTGCAGCATGAAGTCTTGAGCCCATCGTTTCCTCCCTTCAGTGGCTCAGTCACAGGAGGGAGGGCTGCTGACTCGGATGTAGTTAGGACAACTCGATGCCATGGTTCCCGCACGTTCTCAGGCAGACACCCCTGGACAGGGCCCCACACTGATGCAGAACGGAGGCCCTGTTCCAGCACTAGTGGGTTGGTAAGCTCTCATCCTCCCAGCACGCCTAGGAGTGGGGTGTATTCTCCCCATCTTACAGAGGCAGGTGACACCCTGGCCCAAGGTCACACAGCTACCGAGTGGTAGGGTGTGGGCTTCTCTGTTTCTGTACAGACTTACTGTAAAGAGGTAGCTTATCAGACTTTCTGCTTTAGGAGTCAATGCCAGGTGTGCCTGGTCCCGTGGGGAAATCCATTCCGTGGGTGGTTCTGCCGTAGAGGCAGCCTGCGGGGAGGGAGCTCTCGGGCGGCCAAGGCACCACTGTCCTTCCCAGGGGAGAAGTGGTGAACCAGGACGACCTGTACGAGGCCTTGACTAGTGGGCAGATTGCGGCTGCTGGGCTGGATGTGACGACCCCGGAACCGCTGCCCACAGACCACCCGCTCCTGACCCTGAAGAACTGCGGTGAGAACTGTGATTTCCTGATGCGGAGTCACCCGGGCCCGCGGGAGTTAGAGGCGGTCTGGAGGTGCTGGGTGCAGAGCTGCCGTGAGCGGCACTGAGCACGGGGACACAGGCGGACGGGAGATGTTGAGGCTGTTAGTGACACCGGCACACTGCAGCGCGGGGCGAGGCATCCTAAGCACTGATGCCGCGGGGCCGAGGACCACACATGGATGCTTCTTAGCCTCCCCAGCTACTCTACCTGGTTAAGAGCTCTTTATATTAAGTCCTGTCTCCCCAGGGAGCTCGTGTGCCGTCTCCGGACTCACATAGGGGCTGAGCCAGTCCCTGTCTTTTGTGTACACTCTGGGATGGAACCCCACACAGAAGGTCCTTAGCTGCCTGTCCACGGGGAATGCCCCCATTATTGTAGCCCTCAGAAATTCCGCTGTCCCCACCGTCCTCACCAGGCTGAAAGGAGGAACATTGGCACTCACGTCTGGGCTGTTGCCCACAGCTGGGAAAACCGTCCCATCCCCGCAGGCCCAGCACTTCAGCTCAGTGCCCTGGATACTGCTTTCGAAAGGTGTTCTTTGGGGACAAGTGACCTCACTCATATCTGGGTTTCAGTAGCCCCAAGTCCCTATATCATTCCCCTGACCCTCAGCCCCATAGGAGTGGAGCGCGTAAGGACAGTGGCCAAATCGAAGAGCACTAAGCAGGTTCTCTTTATTCTCACTGACAACCCCTGGTCAGGAAAACAGGGCCCACTTTAAGACTCTGGAAACACCCTTACCTCCCTCTGTTCCTCCCCTTTCCAGTGATCCTGCCCCATATTGGCAGCGCCACCTATGGAACCCGAAACACCATGTCCTTGTTGGCAGCTAACAACTTGTTGGCTGGCCTGCGAGGGGAGCCGATGCCCAGTGAGCTCAAGCTGTAGGGACAGGAGCCGCTGAGGGTCAGGAGGCCCACTGTGCCCCTGGAGTCTGTCAGCGGAGGCTTGATCTGGACCCACAGGACGGGAGCCAAGGGAAAAACATCTGATCTGTTCTGATCCTGCAGAAGGAAGACTGATGCTGATACACAGGCTTGCTGCTTTTGTGGTTGGAAACATCTGAGCCAAAAGTATGTGATCCTATTAAATAATTCTCTGAGACAGTGTGGGCCTGTAACTGGGAGAAGCTAACAAGGGCATCTGCTTACCTTTTTTTTTTTTTATTTGACAGCTAGAGATCACAAGCAGGCAGAGGCAGGCGGGGGGGTGGGGGGGGGAAGCAGGCTCTCTGCTGAGCAGAGAGCCCAACGTGGGGCTCGATCCCAAGACCCTGGGATCATGACCTGAACCAAAGGCAGAGGCTTTAACCCACTGAGCCACCCAGGTGCCCTGCTTACCTTTCTAAAATCAGGGCATCTGGTGATGTGTGGGCTCTGCTCTGCCCCCAACCCTTCCCCGCAACCCCCGCCAGCATGTGAGCTATTAGAACCTGTCCAAACCACCTTACCCCTCATGTCCTCCTCGACTCCTTCACTTGTCCCTCACTGGGGATGGGACAACCATGGCCCAGTGGTGACCATGGCACTTGCTACCTAGACCATCCAATTAATATACATGGCCAAGAAAAGCAGGTAAGGTCACAGTACTCTTACTGTTTTGGCCAAGAATAATTGGAGGTAGGTGAGTTTAATTTTTATTTAAAATCCGTTTCAGCACCTTCACACTTTGCGCTCTTTGTCCATCCCCTCCGCCCCTGCCCCCAGGTGGATGTCCTTGTTCAGATCACCACCTGGCTTACTGCTTTACTCCTCCCGAGGCCAGGCCTCCTGCATGGCCAGAGCCCCGCTCCCACCGAGGGATTCAGGCTCCGGCTCTTCCCCATGGCCAAGCCCCGCCGGCAGATGGAGCTTTCGCCCCGGCAGGCAGGTGTGGGAGCAGCAGAAAGCGCAGGGTGAAGCAGGCTGTCCGAGAGGAGGACTAGGTGTGCTGAGAACACCCGTGGCTTCAGCCCAGACAGAGTGCAGGAAGAGCAGAGGGACTGGATTGAGGGCAGTGACAATAACTGTGATGGACCCCATTAAGAGTGTTTTGGAGGAGGTTTGGTGTTTTTTTTTTTTAAAGTACTGGTCAAAGCAGGGTTAGGGGAGAAAGCCATACTTCCCTTTTTTCTTTCAACCTTAATAACCTAAGCAAAGAAAAAACACATAGTTAGTTAGAGGCATGAATGTGACAAATTTTTTATTTCAAAATCTCAAATTTTGACCAGCATAGCACCACTGACTTGGGTGCCCTGATAGAACCTTGTGACTTGCCCACCAGAAATGACCATGCCAGGCTATAATTAAGGCTAACCAATCAAAATTCAGGTACCCAAAACCAGTTCTAATTCAGGTAGAAACTACGGATCACAGGAACCCTGAGACTGGTTTTGCAGGGAACCTCTGAATTATTTTTAAGTTTTATAGCATGTATGAGGACACTGGCCCAAAAGCTTGCTTCTCACATGTAGAGACCGATCAACTAAGAGGTAGATGAGAGATTCCAGACTCCATCTAGCAGTGGAGAGGCGGGGCTCCAGGCGCTGTATCAGAGACAGGCCCTAAAGCCAGGTCCACTGAGGCTGAACTGAGGTGAGGCGCAGCCGCCCGGCCCCTCCCCCCCAAGATGGAAGAGAAGGAAGGAGAGTACCCCTGCTCTTCCCGCTGCCACTGGCTCCTCTCCCCAGGCCCAGGCAGGGACTCTCTTGTGTTCCACCTTGACCCACCTGCCCCCCAAGGTTAATCTTCCCATAAGACGCTGGTCCCCACATCTAGTATAGGGGTAGATGAGGAACCCCCCCACATCCAATCAGAACACGACTCTAACAACAGCCGCACACACAACTGCATTTCACATGTGATCCCATTATCCTCCAGCAGTCTCTTTCCCACGTCTGCTGGAAAGGAGAGGAATCACAGAAGTTTCCTTTTTGGCTTTCCTCCCTGGGAATCCGCTCACAGGAGGTGCTAAGCCTGACTATGAACAATATGAGTTTATCCACAGACAGATGTGTAACTGCACACACTAGATTAAGGGGAGAAAACGCATGCTGATTGTTTTGGGCTACACGTACTTTGATTTCTAAACAGTTCTAAGTAAGAACCGAAGGACTTCTTTTGATTACGCATAGTGGTTTGGTGTCTCTGAAAGAGCTGTGTAAAACATGAACTCATGTTCGTGCATGAATTAAACGGAATCCGTGAGCTCTCCAGAGACCCCCGGATGCGCCCGGGCTCGGCTTTGCACAGGTGCCACTGGCAGCCCTGAGAAGCGAGGCAGCGGAACCCACGGAGGCCCCGGGCAGCGGCCCAACTGTGTCCTCCGTCTCAGGTGCTACTGGGTGACTTCCATGCCCTGGGCTCCCAAACTTTCTTACAAAGTCTGGAAAATATTTATCTGGAAATAACACTACTATGTTTGGATTTTAAACAATTTGAAACATTCTTGGTCTTAGGTTGGGGCAACAATGATAAAAGCTCAGGGTCTAGACTTTAAGACTACAGTATATAAAAGTGATAAACCCACGGTGGAAAGGGATTAGCATCATTTTTGGTTATTTTGCAACAAAAACAGTAATGCAGGCCTGGACAAGAATGCCACGCGGGGCAGGGAGAAGCAAAGCAGAGAGCGGTCCTGTTGCAGGTGAGATGTGTCAGGCTGGACGGGACCCCAAAGCCTGGACGCAGCGAAGGGTGAAATGCACCATGAAAAGATCCCACAAAACAGGACTCCACATTATTAGAACAAAGACAAACACTAGCTCTTCTCTGACTTCCAAACATGGAACTGTAACATATGTAATACAAGTTGGGTAAAATACCGCTAAAACAGCACGTACAGAAACAACACCTTACTTGCCACTCCCTACAGTCCATACTCCATTTACAACTGTGTTTTTAAAACCAGGAAAAACTGTTAAAACATCTAGCCAGCAGTAGTGTTTTCCAAAAGTATGTACACCTAACAGTCCAGAGAATGCTCGCTCTGGACCCAGTGTCAGCACCATCAAAGTGCAGTGCCTGTGACTGCAGTGGAGACGAAAATTAAAAATACAGTACTGAGGCCTAGGCCTAGCTCATGATACACTTTAAAGCATTCGTGGCGGACAGGCGTGTCCTCAAGGGCCCTCCTTTCAGACAGGCACAAGCTCGCCACTGGTTACACGTAAGTGCGTTCTGCATCGCTGTACAGGTATATAATATTCTCTTCAGAGGATATAGGAAAGTTACTTAATGCTTCAGAGTTTTACAAAAATTGCTAAAAAAATTTTTTTGCACTTCCATTTTTAATTTTTTAAATGTGCCACTTTTAACGCCATGAATTACAAACTACTTTCTGACTGCTTTACTCAGCCCTAAGGAAGAACTCGGTTTCAGGGATCATGTCCCTCTCCAAAAGCCTGCATCTCGCTCCGAGAAGCAGCAGCGGCACAAGTGCTCCCCGTGTGAATTCTCCACTTACTAGTCACCGGAATTTGCACGAGCCGTCGGGGGGCCGGAAGCCTCAAGCCCGATGGCGTTCACCACCAACCAGAAGAGCCGTCCGCCTTAGTCGGACAACGGGCACCGGCCCGACATCGAAGGGTCGGGGTTAGAGCAAAGTGCTGGGGAGGTTGCTGCTCTGCCAGCGCAGGCACGTGGTCTTTGAGTGTTTATACAGGTGGCTGGACTGACTGAACCTCTTGCCGCACTTGAGGCAGGCGTAGGGCTTTTCCCCTGTGTGAACTCGGATGTGCTTCTTGCAATCCGTCAGGGTCAGAAAAGTCTTGCAGCAGATTTTGCAGGCGTACTTGCGAGCGCCCTCTACAACCAAGACGTTGTGCTCTGACAAGGCCTTCTTGCACTTGGACAGGACATCAGCGGACGCCCTGGTCAACTGTGGAGGGCCGGGCTGCGAAGGATGGCCATTTTCAAATGAGGACGTGGCCGCGTTCATCATTAGCTGGGAACTGGCCGAGTTTTCTGGGATCTGTGAGCTCCTGACAGACGTTACGACTGGCATTTTGGGAGCAATGCGTCGGTAGTATGGAAAGTTACTGGCTCCTCCTCTTGGGGAGCCCATCATGACCCTGGAGAAGGAGGAGTGGAGGCCCAAACCAGACCTGGAAAAGTCCATCCCAAACTGTTCTCCTCCTTGGTAGCCTGAGGTCTGCACGCAGGGCAGGCCCATCACTTCTTGCATAGGCCTGACGAAATGGGAGTCTGCAGGCTCGCTGAACGGGTTCTCCACGTGAGAGCCAGGGGCTGAAGAGGGCCCGCCAGCGGGCCCAGCCTCTGGACTCAACAAATAAGGGGCCTCCCCCTCCAGCCTACAGTCACTAGTAGTGTTTGGGATATTATCATCATTGTTCTGACTTGCACTAAAGTTACTCCCTCTGCTCTTGTTAAGAAAATTTGAAATGCTGAAAGTGGATTTGTGCTCCAGGTTATTTGTGACTTCCAAAATATGGATGTCACCTACCCTGTCCGTGCTAGACTGGGGATCTGAAAAACTCCGATCGCTACTTTCAGGGCTGAGGTCTATCTTCTCGGCACTGACCACAACCCCTTCCACTTCCACGGATTCGCTGCCTTCTGCTTGGGAGGTCACATCGCTCACTTCATCCTGAGGCTCAGGAGAGCTCAGGGGCTCAGACTTAACCACCACTCTCATGTGCTCCTTCTCTCCAAGGCCAACCTCGGGATTTTCACACTGAAAACCACTTTTCTCGGTGGCAGCGTCCTGCTCAAAACTAGTCTCAACCTGAGTTGCACGAGAGGCCATGGACAACTGGGCCATGTTGCCAGCAGTATTGTCGGACTGGCTGGGCACCTGGGCGTCTTCTTGAGCACCAAAAGACTGGTCAAACATGATGGCACTGTCTTCCTGGTTGTCGGCCATTCCGTCAGCCTTAGGGTTGTCCACGATTTTCAGGGAATCGGGTGAAAAGAACTCCTCCCGAGAATGAACCCCTGACGGCCCGTTCTCTGGCGTGACATCAGCAATGGCAGACTCATCCATGGCAGGCCGGAGGCGCTGCCTGGCCCGCTCCTCTGCGGACTGCTTGCGCTTATGAAGGCGTCTCATGGGGAAGGGCGTCCGTTGGTCCAGGTTACTGCGCAGCGAGGAGCTCATGGGGGCCGGCTGCTCCTCGCCGCTCTGGCTGGAGCTGAGGGCTGAGCTCACGATACTTAGCCCCAGCTGCTGCAGCATAAAGGAGCGCTGCATGCGGGCACTCTGCTCCTGGACGCGCTCGCTGGGGGGAGACATGGGCAGCGTCCTTGTCGTTAAGTAATGTTTACATGCCTTAACAACAGAGTTCAAATGCAGGTGAGAGGCTGCCAATAAGACATCCATAACGTTGCTCTCCCCCAGCATGAGCGTGGAGGTGTACATCATGTCAATCAGTGCGGCAAAGGCCTCCGCTGTCACTACCTCGCTATCCAGCTGGATCATGTTCATGGTCTGATCTCCCTCTGCCACTGAGAAGAGGGCTCGGAAATGCGTGCTGCATGCTGCCAGTACCGAGCGGTGGGCTTTAAAATGTCTGTTCCCCACAACAATGACACAATCACAGAGCTGCCCGTGAAGTCTCTGGTAGTTCAGCTGCTGGAAGATCTGTTCAAAGTGTCCAGGAAAATCCATGATCCTATAGAAAGAACAAAGAAAGAAAGCATTAAGACCTTAGAAAAGCTGAAGCCAAAGTCAGAGCACAGAGGATGTGATGAAAAGAGACATGGACAGCCAAGCTTGGACCTTTTTTTTTTTTTAATATTTTATTTATTTGACAGAGCGAGATCACAAGTAGGCAGAGAGGCAGGCAGAGAGAGAGAGGAGGAAGCAGGCTCCCTGCCAAGCAGAGAGCCCGATGCGGGACTTGATTCCAGGACCCTGAAATCATGACCTGAGCCAAAGGCAGAGGCTTAACCCACTGAGCCACCCAGGCGCCCAAGCTTGGACCTTTTAAAGCTTTTGATATTTCTCATGATGGCACGCAGACTAAAAACCTGTCAAATAAGGAACAAATGCCAATTCAGCTAACAACCCTGGAAACAAGAAGACACATGGTATCAGCCACTGGCTGTTTACGGGCTCCCCTTCACTCTTCGCAGGACCCATTTTTAACACTTAGGGACCCATGTTAGAAAAGACCAAAGTGTAAGTGGTGGAATGGCTATCCCATGGACGTGAATTACGATTCTGCATTCCCTAAGGACAGTGAACAAGCTCCATAAAATTCCAGTCTTTTAGCAACCTTAAGAGTGAGAGGGGTAAATCAGTATTAGTGAGTAAGGCTTCCAGTTACAGAGGACGGTAGACTGCACACATGCATTTGCCCCCATTAAAAGGAGACTAAAGTTTTTGGATTTGCTGTTTTTTCAAAGATACAATCCCACAAGGAAGAGAATGATCAGTAGCATTTTGGTAGCAGGTGAGCAGGTAAAGGAATGAGTGCGAACTGACTCAGCATGCCCGGAGAGCTAAATGCAAACCTGGCAGTGGAGAAAACCACCTGACTTACATAGGAGCCCCCCACCCACCCAAAGGCTCAGGAATTGGCTGCAGGGATGTCAGGGGAAGAAGACTAAAGGTGGTGCCAAGACAGAAGGACTGGCTGGAAATCTAATAAAGAAACAACCTACTGGAAGCTCTAGGAGAGCTCTTATGTGCTGGGCTTAGGGACCTACCTGCATCCCCACGACTGTGCTAGGGAAGCAAAGAAGAAGGGTTTTGTTTTTTGTTTTTTTTTTTTTTTCTGCTTTTTACTTCTCTATTGATAGGCTAGTTGCTGATTTATCCACCTAACATGATTATGCATAAAGTGGGTTGAGATCATTCACAAACGGGACATCAGACTGCTATCAGAAAAGGAGAAAGACAGAGAGCCTACATGAGACACGAGGCAACAAAGTGATCTGGTCAGTATAAAGGACAACCCACACCTAATTCATGTTTCATGTTCTTTATAAAAACTAGTCACTTGGAATAAGGCAATGTGTAAAGCAGACTGTACTTTCCAAGAGGCCTGGCCATACTAAGATCACCCATCAGCATGCTTTCTTACAGTGTGACACTGGCACTCCTCTCATTGAGGTGGGGTCCGTGTTCATTCGCCTTGAAGCCAGACAAATCTAGGACTATGGCAGAAATTACAGTGTTTTTCTTCCATTCCCACTGACTTGGGAGCTGGGTCATAAGAGGCAACAGAGCTTTTGCCTGCTCTTTCTGGTTTGGTCTTGGAACCCAGCCGCCCATGCCGCGAGGAAGCCTAGCTGAAGCCTAGGTGACAGCGGGCACTCACTCCCAGGCAGGAGTGTGCCTTCAAGGTGACTTCAGCCCCAGTCACGGTCTGACTTCAACCCCATGACAGACCCTAAGAGAGAGTCATCTAGCTGAGCCCAGGCAACCCCTAGAACTGTTCAAGGTAGTAATAAAATGATTTTTGTCTCAAGCCATTGAACACTGAATGGAAGTGAGCTGTTGTTACACAGCACCAAGTGACTGCGGTAACGTGAAGCTTGTTAATGCTTCCTCACAGATCAACAGTCAAACACTTTAAATACTACCTCCAAGGGACACTTTTTCTTGCGTGGGGTGGGGGGGGGGAGCGGTCAGCCTACTAGGTCTTTGGGGGAAATCACTTCTCACCCATTTTTAGTGCTTGTGGTGCAAACCAGACTGCCCTGAACCTCTGAGTTTCAGGAGTGAACAAATAATCCAGGGAGATCTGGCCCCATGACTCCAGTGATTATTTCAGAGATGGGTAGGTGACCCCAGCCATGCCAACTAGCGTCTGCCCTGGGACTCTCTTCACCCAGCTTGCAAGTTACAAGATAGATGTGAGTCTAGCACTGATGGTGGCCATTGTTGCCTGTCTAAAAAGGAAGCCCATACAAAAGAAAGCAATACCCCCAAAATAATGTCCTGATGACAGCAAGACCCTGGGATCCAGCCATGACTGTAAGTGCCATCACCCTAGGATTTCCTATTTCATGAGCCAGTGAATTCCCCTTTTATCTTAACCTGGTCAAGATAAACATAAGGTTTAAAACAATTTCAGAAAAACCTAAGTAACATGGCTATCTTAAAACCTTTGTGTATCTAGAAGGGGTATTAAAAAAAAATTCCGTTAGTTTGGGAGATATAAAATGTGTTACTTTCAGCTCTGATGGAAGAGAATCATGAATCAAGATCATGGTTATTCAAAACTCCCAAGTATATGTAGCCAACTCAGAGGTCCAGTGTAAAAGCCATAAAAAAGAGCTCGAGCTGGAAAAATATGTGCTTTACCAAGAGCTATTGTCTGAAACCTTCACGCCAAGGAAAAAGCTTCAGGTCTCTTTAAAAGATTTCAAAATGTGACAATCTGAGTCTACAGAGTTGGAGGAGATACAGCAAGTAATCTACCAATTTGTATATGTCTGACTCATAGCAAGTGTACACTACAATATTTGTTATCTGCAGGAACAGATTTTTAGTAATTTCCAAACTAAATATAATTAAGAAAATACACTTATACCACTGCTCATTTTATTAACATGAATAATCAAGAGCTGTTTTCTCAATAGATTTACTTTCCTAATAGTGCTTTACTTAGACTAATAAAAAAGTTCATTTGTGTTCTAGGAGAACAAACCAATTAATAGCACATTTTAAACTATTTGACTTATATATTGACCTACCTACATGCTTTTCAATAATATACTGACTTGGTGAGGAAAAGCGCACCCACACTCAAATACCATCTAATACCGTATCGAGTGATTTGCTGCCTGTATGCCAGGCAGGCCCTGCAAAGTTGCCACCTGCAGGAAGTGTCTTAACAGTCTAAGGGATTCTTAACATTCAATATCCCTAATCTAGATAAGACCCTAGCAGAAAAGAATAACGAAAAAGAACTTTTCCTCCACTTTTAGAGATGATATAAACAAAAATAAGTGTAAGCGAACAAAACTAGGCAAGGTCCCAGACAAGCAGTCTAGGATTTCTGACAGAGCTCCAAGTCCTGGAGTCCTGGAACGTTTGCCCATTGTTCTGATTTGACTAAGTGGAAGTAGGGAACAGCCAGGACTAGGTGGGCACACAGGTGCCCAGCGTCAACCCCAGAACTCGATCTGTCAGCATTGACTCATTTTATCATCTCTCTGTTTCTGCTCTGGCAGGGCTGGCTCAGAAACTGGACAGATTAGGTCTAGGAAAAAGGGACTGTATCAAGGACTAAAAAGTGAGCATGAACTCAAGCCAGAACCCGATCCCTTACCATCTCCCCTACCCTCCAACTCTCCCTGCTCTGCCACCTTGTTTTCCAGTTCAAAATTCCTGGGGATTAGCTGACCTAGAACTTCATGATTCTGTTTGAATAAGGAAATGTGTTAGTGCCCTACTTACATTCCTAGTGCAAACTCAAAATGCTGTTTCTACTAAAACAGCTTTTTGAGGGCAGGGATTGCATTTTCTCTCTCCCCCCGCAAAGTGTCTGGTACACAGCTCACTAAATGATTTATTGAATGAGCACGGACTGTATAATGATGAACAACAACACCGTATTGCCCAACAGTCATTTTCCTGAGGGTCCCAACTACTCTAAAATCAGCCAAAACTCACAAAAGTCTCTGAATAGCCAAAATAAAGATCAAAGCCTAGGTATGAAAGAGTTCCTCATAGGAAAGCCCCTCAAGCATTTACATAGTCTTTTGTCTTAAACAAACAAAATTCAAGTTTTTCTAGTATCCTAACTGATTGAAGATGAGCAACAGCAATTCCAGAATGAGGGCAAGAGGCGGCTGCGCGTTGACAGCTGCAAAAAAAGGGCGACAGCTGACCCACTAAAGGAGAAAGGCCCAGCAACTTGGGAGCCCTGTACTGGAGGCGCTGCACAGCCCTAGAGATCACAGCAGCCCATGAAGGTGCTTGTGTAACTGGTATACAAATTCATTCATTCCATGTTTGGAAGTGCTTGCTTTGTTCAAGGTTAAGTGCTATGGAACAGAGATTGATATAGCATAGTCCTGTCACAGGTGCTTACTGGAAACACGACACCTACAAATAACTATTACCAAGTGGAGAGCACTAAGTGCCACCTGAGTGGAAGTGTGCTCAGTGGCTCAGAGAAGGTAGACGTTATTCTTGGTGGCCCTGACAACAGAACTGGGTACAAGTTTGCACTTGGATAAAATGAGCTGTAAAATACATTCCACACAGAGGCAAAAGTGGGTAGAGGTTTGAGGTGGTGGAGGCAGCGCATCTATTCTGTCTGGAGAGCAGGTAAGGCTAGAAAGGCAGGTCTTGGATAGCGAATGCTCATAACTGATATTAACGATCACCACACGTTGTCGGAAAAGTTAACAAAGAGGCATATAATTTTCAACTGAAACTATCATCACTTTTCAGGTAACTTTAGTAAAAAAATTTTTTTTAATTCCATTTTTGATGGCTTGAGCACATAAGAATCAGGGTTCTTGGTTGCAACAACAGTTTCTAGCTAACCTAAGCATAACAGTAAGCTGCTGAAAGAACTGATGGGAAGACTGGACACCTGAACTTGAACTGCACAGCAGGAACAATCTGGCCAGAATGCTGTCTCTGCGTGTGCTGGCCACAGCCACTTCTATAAGAATGCTGACGCTACAGGGGACCGAATCTCCCCTTCCCTTCGTTATTGTTTCAGTTCTCGAATACATGTCTTTTTTAACATTATGTGAGATGAAATGGAAAGTACACACGAAGTCATTGCGCTGCACACTAAAATGCAATGCAAGGCAAAGTCCTTGTGCAGTTTCGGAGTTGTAAGCTAAACTAATCGCCTTTTTCATGGAGCACCATTATAACTTGGAAGAAGAACGACAAATTATGGTTATTTAGACATTTAGACTTGGGTATTTGCCAGATATTCTTTAAGGAGGAATGAAATGAGCTTGTCATTTCAAGGAAAACAACTTACATTATATTATATATATAATAATACATTATAATATTGTTGCCTATGATAAAATTTGAGCTTTCAGGTAAAAATTGGAATTTTGGAAAATTTATACATGTCACTGAGAGTTTCCCAGTGCTCAAACCCAGTGAGATCACTGGTGATATAAACAGAATGTGAATTTTTTTTTTATATTATAAATGCATCAACATTTGGAAGATCTGCATAAGCCGGTGAATGAGTATGTTCCAAATGACCAATGTTACAAAGTGTGATGTTAAAAAATAAGTTATGGATTAAAAAAATTCAAAGTGCAAGATACAAACTAATGTATTTCAATGTAACAGAATACGAAAAGTTTGTTGACATGGTTTCAGATTACACACTGCTACTAACCATGGTATTTAAGAAAATACCATTTGCTGAGCTCTGTTACAGTATCAAAATATCCAGAATTATTTGAAAAAGCTACTAAAATACTCTTCCCTTTTCCAAGTACATATTTGTGTGACTCTGGGTGTTTTTTGGTATACTTTAATCAAGACTGTATCACAACAAATTGAATACAAAAGCAGGTAAGAGAATCCACCTGTCTTCTATTAACCTAGACATGGAAGAGATTTTCAAAGAAATGTAAATCAATACCACTCTGAGCATCCTGGTGCCCAGATCTTGGTTTCAAATACGATTTTCTAACAAAAGGAACTAGTGCTCTTTGGAGAAATGGCTGATTCTAGTACCGGGGCTGAAAATACACAGGATAAGCCTACCGTATCTTACAGTGTCAAAAACTCAGGAAATGCTTCAAACAAACAAACATGAAAACGGAAGTATGTGAAAGGGACATGGGACCCAACAGAAGCGCTCCCAAAGGCCAAAATTGGAACAACATGAGCAAAAAGATAAATAAATTGGATTATACCCCAAATATATAAATATCCATAGATCCATACTGATATAGACTGCTTACATAAATAAATGTAAGCAGAGAAGAAGAGAAGTGTCAAATCTCCTGTGCAGAAAAATTCCAAGTAAATTACATAAATACTCTACCCTCAAAGAGATGGAGCCCAAGCCCCAGCTCCTTGATACGAGCTGTGCATAGAGCCTTCCTTCCAGGGTACAGTACAATATGCCTATTACAGTACAAAAAAATCAGTACTCCCAACACAATTCCTAATCTGTTGGCGCTGTCAGAAAGATAAATCAAAGCTTTTAGCATATATATGTATAACTAATCAAATGAAAGGCTCCCCCCCCCATATTGGACCTTGAGATGAAAAGCCACTATTCACTGATGAAAATGATGAAAACAACTGTAAGAGCCACAGTTCACTCAGAAACAGCTGGTCTGTTAGCATATGAGAAGTTCACATCATACTCAGACAAAAGGTGCAGTGTAGTGTTACATTGCAGCCCACCTGCTACACTAACAAAATTTGGCTCCTACTGTTCAATGTCCATATTTGAGAAATGTTCAGTACAGTAAAAGAGAAATATGTTTAAAACTGACAGAGGAGAGAAGTATTTGTTCACAACAAATATACATTTAAAAAATACAAGTTGAAAGCTAACACTGACTCAATATCTTAAATTTTCTTTTTCCCTTTCCCAGGAGAAGCAGGTGAATTCAAGATACTGTATGGGCACTACAGCAAGCTTTGTCTCACTCTACGTAAGACAGTTTTAAGCTGCACCCCCAGAAGAATTCCAATTCGATATAATTCATGTTAAGTACTTTATCTTTTTTTAATATTTTTAATTTTATTATTATTTTTAGGGGAGGGAAAGGCAGAGGGAGAGAGAGAATCTTAAGCAGGCTCCACACCCTGTGCAGAGCCCCACCCAGGCTCAATCTCATTGAGCCTAGTCTGAGATCATGACCTGAGCCTAAATCAAGTTGGGCACTTATCCGAGCGACCCAGGTACCTCAGTGCTCAGTACTTTAAGTATTAAAATATTCGGATGCATTTATTATCAAAGTGATTTTTTAAAATGACTTAACCTCCTTGTAACAGTATTTCAACAAAGTCTCTTTTGAGAGCACTGATCTCTAAATTTAGGAAAACACCCTACTCTTAGATGCTTTTCTTCCAAATCTTATCACATTAAGAATTTTGCTAGAGCTACCTCAATTAACCAGAATACAGCTTGCCAGCATCCCCAACTAACTACGTTTTGACAATTTTTAGAACAAAAAGGAGCACATCAAAAACAAGACTTCAGAACTCTAAAAAGTCTGGGTTCATTTATTCAGCAAAACACAAATGCCCAGAACAGGTCCCCAACCAGTTAGTCTTACCTGGCAGGTCACCAAGCTGGCAGTGGTGCCCAGGCCAGTCTTCCCAAGTTTGCTGGAATTTCCAGCTGGAGTTAAAGCAATAGCAGCAGGCCTTCCCTTGGTTTAGGAGCCATTCTCTAAAACTTTTTTTTCTGTGCAACTGGTCTCTTCCCCCACCTCGGCTCTTTTAGCTTGCTACCAACCACCCTCCTCTCGGAAATCGCAGGATTAGCAAATGAAAGCAAGCTCTGGAGAAGACAACTAGGCGGCCAGTACACCTTTTTAGTGATCTAAGGCTCAAGAGTCCGTGCAAGGATAACAAATCATCAATGACTAACGCATAGCAGTCTCTTCAACCTCTAAAGATCCCAGTATCTTCTACTTACTACAACCAAAAAGTATATGAATGTATTAGGGGGAAAGTTTTGTCTCCAATTTTGAAGGCGAAGGGTTCCTTCTATTCATTCAAATTAACCAGAACCGGAGCATATTACTTACTGATCAAGACTTTACTGTTCTTTTCCGTAAACATTTTCTTCCGAATAAACACTTAGGATTTGTCTCCTTTAGAGAACTTAGTTCCTTACAATACTCTCCACCAGGGCAGAACGCAGACTGACTTTATAACAACCTTTTTCCCCCTGTTTTTTTGTAAGGCATAAAACTGACCTTCCACCCTCCCCCCTCCCCTTTAATTCACTGCCCGATGTTAACATTTACGTCCAAATCTGTCCTCCAAAAGGGGAAGAGGGGGAACGGCTGTTTTTACCGCTCCAACCCCCCACAGCTCCTAGCACGAAGGCTGGAGAAAGTGGACATTCAATAAACGCCCAGAAACAGTTCAGTTCTCAGATAACAAGCTGGGGCATTCCAAAAGACTGGCTCCACCCCCGCAGGGTCAACCGTCGGTCCCCGATTCCAGACCGCCTTGGTCTCGCTCGGGTGAAAGAAACCTCGACGCTCACAGACCCAGGAAGAGGGCAACGAAGCCACCCGACCCCAGTCCGCTGGGCGGCAGATCCTCTGTTAACCCGCCGGCCTGTAGGTCCTGGGCCTTGCCCACCCCAGCCCGGCAACGAACGCCGCCAGCCCGCGTCTCCGTAGGGGCAAGAGCCCCCGCCCCACCCGGCAGACAGCCTGGCGTCGGGACCTGGGGGACGCCTGCGCAGAAGAACCCGCCTCCCACCCGCCTGGCCCCTCGGCTCCGAAGGGTAACAATACCCCCTCAGAAAGACCGGCAGGGTAGGCGGGGGTCACCGGTCCGCGTCTGCGCGCGCCCAGACGCCTAGGAGCGAGCCGGCTTGCGCCGCCCGCCTAGCTCTCCCGGAGCTCAACGGCCTCCACGTGAGCGCGCCCGCGCGCTCCACCGCCGCGGGTGCTGACAGGGTCGCCTCACCTGAGCCGGGCTCCGCCCCCCTGCTCGCTGGAGGAGGCGGTGACCCTTCTCCGATCCGGCCTGACAGTGTCGGAGGAGGCGGGAACGTCCAGGCCGGCGTCTCCGCGATGGGATTTCCTCCCCCTTCCGCCCACCCCGCCTCTCGTCTCCCAGCTCCTTCAGCCCGTTCGCCGCCGCACTCTGAGAACACCGCGGCGGCGGCCGACAGTAAACGGAAGTGACGCCCGCGAGAGAGCCTTCTCCGCTCCATTCCTCCGGCCCCCGGCCGAGCTGCAGCCAATGAGAAAGGGCGGGGGCGGGGCCGGGGCAGAAGGGCAGCCAGCCGGCGCGCGGAATCCGGAGGAATTTACTCGGCACCCCCCGGAACGCCGACCAATCGACGGCCCCAGGAGCTCGCTCTGTTTACTACCGACCGAATCCATGAGCGCTGTGACCAATCACCATTTGCCTTACAACACGTAAAACTGTTATCAAACGCCTTTTAAGGCGGGATTTATCACTAAGCGGCTCTAGGTTTGGACTGTAGAAAAGAGACCGTGGGCTGCAGCCAATCGAGAGCCGTTATGGTTGAGGTAAGCGGGTTTTCCGCCTCATTGTGCCAATCGCAGACGCGGCTGCCTGTGGTCTGCGCGAGCCGCGAGCCGCGAGCCGCGAGGCCTAGCCGCAAGGGAGTGTGTCCCACCATTGGCTGGACCTGAAGGATTTCCCCACCCTCGCGGCGGCTGGCCGCTCCGTGACCGCCCGCTCGCTCCCCGAAGCCCACAGCCGCAGCGGGCCGGGGCTCGAGTCCCTCCCATCTCGTAGGCTTTGGGAAAAATAAAATCCCGAGACGCTGTGTGGTTGAATTAGGCCAAAATCCAGGCTAAAATAGCTGACCCAAAAATACGGTCCGTCTGACAGCACTTGGGTGCGATCCCACCCCACGTCCGGTCGCGGCGGCGGCGTCTCCCACCGCGGGTGCCCGAGGAGTCCGGCGGGGGTCCCTTCGCTCCGCAGTCGGTGCTGCAGGTGGGATCCGCCTGCCGGCTCCAGAACCGACGTGTTCGCGCGGACTTACGCGGGACGCTGTCAGAGGAGAGCCGGCTCCGGGGCGGCTCCCGAGCTCCCCGGCAAGCTCGGATGCAGAGCCCGAGCAACGTCCCGGGGTCGCCGGACGCTGGGCGGGGAGGAAGCCCTCCTTCCTCTGTGAAGAGAGAAGCAAGCCCTTGAGGGGCCTTCCGGCGGGAGCTGTGCGTGGCTTGGGAGACAAAGGCAGGCTGGCAATCGCCGCTGGGTTCTTTTCGGGGTGGGGTGGAGCGGGGGTAGGGGGAGACTTTTTAAAAAATGGAACACCCCATTTCTTCAGAACTCAATACCTAAGTACCATCATGGCTGATCGATCCATTCGGGCGTTATAGGTTGGAAAAGTTGCCCTTTGGATTTTTTTCTTTAAGGCCTCAATGAAGTCTGATGGTAAATTGTTAAGATTGCCTGACGTTTTAAGAGTCCCCACACGTATTTTACTGCAGATTGGGCAGTAAAATTATATGTATGGAATTCTGACAATAACCTAGGCCATGTGAGAGGTCTTTTCATATACAGGATCCTTACAAAAATGCTGTGAGCTAGGTACCTCGGATTTACAAACTGGAAAAAGTTAAAAAGATCTATGTATTTATAACTTATGAAAGTGTGAAAAGGCCCCTGCTACGTTGTTGGTGGGAGTATCATTGATGTTCTAATTGAAGATTGGTAGTATCTCAAAATTTAAAATATGCGTTCATTCCCTTTTAGCTAGCAATTCCTTCTAGAAATGTATTCTGAAATATACAAATGTGGAAATATATACAAGAGGCTTTTGATCACAGCTGTTGGTAGAAGGAAAAAGAAAACAATCTGAGTGTGCATCTACAGAGGATTACAGAAAATTGATCTATACATATTATTGCTCCTTCATCTCTAATGATCCCAATACATATAAAACAAAATTAATAAAAACCTGCCTGCGGAGGTACACATGAAAGTTTGTAAAGATACAGCTAAGTATCAAGGATTCAATCAAACTGTTCACAGTAGTTACCTCAGTGAAGGAGGAGGTGATAAGGAAATGTTTAAGTGTTTAATTTTTAGTCCTTATATACTTCTGTATTAATTTAATTTTTTAAAGATTTACTTATTTATTTTTTTAGACACACACAGAGAAAACGAGAGAGCACAGGCAGGGAGAGCTGCAGAGGGAGAAGGAGAAGCAGGCTCCCTGCTGAGCAGGGAGCAGGACTTGATCCCAGGACCCCTAGATCAAGACCTGAGCCCAAGGCTGACACTACCCGTGGGCCCTGATTTAATTTTTTTTTAAGTGGGGTCTGTGGTGGGCTCGAACTCACAAGCCTGAGATCAAGACCTGAGCTGAAATCAAGAGTCAGATGCTTAATTGACTGAGCCACCCAGCACCCCAGTATTAATTTAATTTTTATAATAATCTTTATTATTTTAATAGTATTTATGAAAGCCAGGAATTTCAGGTTGTTCTGGTTTTTAAATCATTGACAATATACTTTTTAAATTAAGATATAATTTTTTCAATGGAAGTATCAATAAGATTCTTTTTGAAAGTAGACACTTGATTCTGAGACTCATAAGGGAAGACTCATAAGGAAGATTAGCTATGAAAATTCTGGGAAAAATCTATAAGACAGCTATAGCCCTAACAATTACAAATATATTTCATAATGCTTTGTTTTATAAGAAAAAAAAAAAGGAACTTGAAGAGTGGATTCTGAGAAGATGACAGGGAAGGAAGCACCAAGAATCTGTTTCCTCACCCGGACAGTAATTGCACTGCAGAATCTGTCTGATGTAACTATTTTGGAACTCTGGAATCTATTGAAGGCAACCTCTAGGGTAAGGCTTGGATGATAAATTGCAGTCAATTTTGGTCAGTTTTGGTTCTTAGCACAGTAGAAGCTACCCATCCCTCACTCCTCAGTCACATGTCAGGCACTGTGCGCTGATTCCTGGAGACCCTTGCATCAGCTTGTGGGAACCAAAGATGGACAAAAGAGGACTCTGTCCTCCAAATATTCGGCATCATTGATTGCTGCTTTTGATACAGAGGTGCAGAAGAAGAGACGGGCACCCGTTGTTGTACCATAACCCCCCTCCTCCATTGTTGCAAGCCCTCCAGCTGGAGCAACTTCCAGGGGATTTGAAGCAAAAACTGACAAAATTGGAGGGAGAAACGGTTCTACAATAATAGTTAAAGATTACAGTATCCCTTTCTCAATAATGGATAGGACAGTGAGACAGAAGTAAGGAAATAGAAGACCTAACACAATTAACCAACCACGTCTAATAGACAGGTCCAGAACACTCTACCCAACAAAAACACACACACACTCTTCTCAAGTGCGCCTGGGACATTTTCCAGGATAGAACATTTGTTAGGCTACAAGTTAAGTCTCAGTAGATTTTATTATTATTTTTAAAGATTTTATTTATCCAAGATAGAGCAAGAGCAACAGAGAGAGATAACCTAGATGAAATGGACAAATTCCTAGAAATACAAAACCTGCCAAGACTAAATTACAAAGAAATAGAAAAGTCCAGGGGCACCTGGGTGGCTCAGAGGATTAAGCTTCTGCCTTCAGCTCCGGTCATGATCTCAGGGTCCTGGGATTGAACCCTTCATTGGGCTTCTTGCTCAGCGGGGAGCCTGTTTCCCCCTCTCTGCCTGCCTTTCTGCCTACTTGTGATCTCTCTCTCTGTGGCAGATAAATAAGTAAAATCTTTTAAAAAAGAAAAAGAAATAGAAAAGTCTGAGTAGACCTATAACTAGTGGGATGCCTTTGTGGCTCTATCTGTTCAGGTCATGACCCCAGGGTTCTGGGATTGAGACCCACTTTGGGGTTCCTGCGGGGAGCCTACTTCTCCTTCTCCCTCTGCCTGCCGCTCCCCCTGCTTGTGCTCTTTCTCTCTGTCAAATAAATAAAC